CTTTATTCCTTACACCCCTTCAATTTATAAGTTATTTTCAGGAAGACCAGTTCTTCCATAAGTGACTCAGGAGGACAAACTAATGTTGTAGTGATTATTTTGTGTGAACTACCACACAAAACTAACCAGACGTTACATCCAGTGTGACCGGCCTCAAACAAAACCAGATTTCACTGTCATGTAAAAGTTCATTTCTAGTTGACTTTGTGCTTCTTTTTTTGTTGGTTGTTTGGCTGCCTGGATTGCTTGGTGAATGTTAGATTATCTTTCTTTCTAGTAATAATAATAATAATAACAACAACAACAACAACAATAATAATAATAATAATAATAATATCTATAACAAAATTCTTGATCATGATTGGTTCTCCACCGACCTATTTGTCACGTAACTGGCACGCAATCACCTGGGTGTCCAATTACAGGTATCCAATTTGAACTTTTTGTAATTGGATACCTGTAATTGGATACCACGGGATTCGCACATCAATTACGCATGCTTCAATGGCTTCCTTTGCAATGCTTCCTAAAGTTTTCAAAACTTATGAAAAGCGCTACAGATGTGTTTGCTCAAAAGAATTAATCAAAAGACATTTTTAATTCCGAAATTTGTTATAGATACAATTAATTGGTAATTGGACTTTGTACCATACAATTTGGAAGAAATTGTGCTCGTAATTTCAAATCAGCCTTGCGCTTCATGCTTGTCCAATTTTGACATTACTTGGGTGAGTTTTCCCTGAATTGTACTCCACTTGGTCCAATTACTGTTAATAATAATGATAATGATAATGATAATGATAATGATAATGATAATGATAATAATCGAATGTTTACCCAGGATAACCCTTCAGTACAAAGTACTGTTATCAACGGGGTCCCGCTGACTAAGAATTAAAAAACTAATAAATAAGAATTATTTAGATAATAATTACAGTATATATAAAATAAGATCCATATTAAGGCAAAAATACACCAAGTTAAAAACCGTTCTCTGTGGCATGATAGGTATGGAAATTGTTTCGCCAAACAGAGCAAGTATAAGAAATGTTGACAAGGTAATGTCTGTTTTTAGCTTCCGCCTTTAGGTCTCAATATAAAAAATTGGATGTATGATCAAGTGCATAGTAGATACTGTATGAAAGTGACATCAATCATCAATAATGTGAAATTGGCTTTTCTTTTTTTCTCTCAGGAAAATTCAAGAGGAAAGCCTGAGAACATATTTGTTCACATATAACAGCATGTATGACTCATTGAGGTACTTAAACATTCAGAGGAACGGGAAAATGTAGCAATGCATACAATGTTTACAATACACACTACCTCATTTGGAAAAACTTGTGCATCATATTCTTGATGAAAATCTCTGTTAATTGTTATGCCTGACTTTCACTTGATAATGTCAAAATCAAAATTAGCATTCCTTCTTGAAAACATCCTGTTTGCTTTATTTCGCTCTGAATATCACTCATAAAGGTGTATTTCTTTGGATCATCCTTTATTTTATTTTTTACTCTCTGCTAGCTAGCCCTGGATTTTGCCCTCTTTACTCAACCATGCACAGCACTTGTACTCAAGATCACATCACACCATTTCATGCTACTTCTACCGACATTTAGGGACAGACCATTATATTTTTGTTGAGTTGGGGTTGGGCAATTTTGGGGGGCATGACATTTCTTTCTCACCTTTAAGCGGTGCATGATTTTTTCAGTCAGGCAATAGTTTGTGCTAGAACTTTTTTAATGTCTAAATCCAAATAATGATAATAGAAAGAATTTCCTTGATTTTTTTCCCCATGGCTCCCCTTGCAAGATTTTTCTGCGGCTGTTTTTGCCGTGCAGGAATTTTTTATTGGAAATTGCCCAACCAACCCCTTCCCCCTCCAGAAAATGATGGGCTATCCTTTAGGAGTTTAGAATAATGTTTCCCACAAGGTGAGTATGTTTTGTTACTGAGCCCAGTGTTACAGGTGTGGTAGATAAACCTTTAGTTATCCACCTTGTGTGGACATTACTGCATNCTAAGGTAAAGTCTGTTTTTAGCTTCCGCCTTTAGGTCTCAATGTAAAAAATCGGATGTATGATCAAGTGTATAGTAGATATGAAAGTGACATCGATCATCAAATAATGTGAAATTGGCTTTTCTTTTTTTCTCACAGGAAAATTCAAGAGGAAAGCCTGAGAACATATTTGTTCACATATAACAGCGTGTATGACTCATTGAGGTACTTAAACATTTAGAAGAATGGGGAAAAGTAGCAATGCATGCAATGTTTACAATACACACTACCTCCATTGGAAAAACTTGTGCACCATATTCTTGATGAAAATCTCTGTTAATTGTTATGCATGACTTTCACTAGGTAATGTCAAAATCAAAATTAGCATTCCTTCTTGAAAGCATCCTGTTTGCTTTATTTTGCTCTGAATATCACTCATAAAGGTGTATTTCTATCCAATTTTTCCACTTGTGTCACAGCCGGTACAATTCTGTGATTCCTATGACAACCAGCACAAAAGCAAGGCATTAGTCATGAATAAGCTGTGATCCATTTATAGGAGCACTTCACATCTTATATAAGCCCCGCTAGTATAAATGGTCCAGTTTACGTCTTATGTAAGCTGCAGCTTGTGGAAGCCGAGGTTTATTTTTCTCGTATAAATGGCCAGTTATCCAACAATCTTTATCCAGTCTATTTGTGATTGGTGTGCCAGTGTCAGCTCAAGTGTTTATTTGTTGTCTTTACTTGTAGTTTGTATACRTTGGCTGAAATGTTTGATTTGCCTCCGTCTGTGGTGCACAGCACTATCAGCAAAATGATCATCAATGAAGAACTGCAGGTTTGTGATATTGTTTCGTTTTTAATTATTAATATTATTATATGACTTGTTCTGGTATCCGATATTACAGGCGCTCTGATTGGCTAATCGTAGAGCATTATTCTCCTGTAATGCCCACGAGAATTACCTTGACTTTGTTGTGTAGATCTCGCTATTGCTTTGTCAATACAGCAAGGTCTCAGTCTGAGATTTTCCCGTAAAGACCTCACTCTCGGATTATAAGTAGTTATTATTATTTTCACAGTCAAGCAGTTTAATAAGTAATTTGTAACTATAAATCAATCTTTACATCTGCACAGAGAAAGCTTAACACGTGTAAGACTTACCACTTGGGATCAGGGTCTGAACCCCATGTCTTCTAATCTGCTTAGAGCCCTCTGTGATAACCATTTAAGGTTTTGCAGTCCACCACTTAACTGCAAAGTTTCCTAAGATGTCAGAGAATTGTAATATAAAACAATTTTCCTCTGTGTCTAACTATCAAATGTGATTATTGTGCTTCAAAACTGGAGTTTAAATGGAATTCACCAGAGAAAATCAAAACAGGTTTCTGGGGAATTGTTATAAAACCATGCTATCATTGGAATTCTGACATATTAAACTGCACCAACAGGCTTCACAAGCCCGTAGTTTTTGCCAGCAATGTCACTGATCGTATGCTGGTAAGGGCAGGCTCATATCATAACTATTAAAAATTGTTTGTTTTAATTGCTTTGTTGAGTGGTCATTAAGAATTCAAATTTCAAGTCTAATAAAGGTTGTGTTCTCACTCCAGGCCTCTTGGGATGAGCCAACTCAGACAGTTGTAATGCGCCGAGGAGC